AAAAATCACTTTTCCATTGTGGCATCAGATATTTTTTATGATGACGTCAAAATTTTAAGGGAACTTGTGACAGTTGTGTGATGTCCAGTAATGGCGGACAAATAGCAATAAGGTGTATTACTTTCAATTGTGGTGTCAAATATTTTCTAATATGACGTCAACATTTTACAGGAACTTTTGTGATGTCCATGGCAAGTAATGGTGGACAAATAGCGATAAAGTGTATTGGCAATCAAACAGACAAGCCACATATCCTTATAATTTTTTTATATAAATGAACAAATTCATAATTGTTGTACGTAGATGCTTGAACAGTGGCGGCTTTAGGGGCCCCGACCCCCTTATGGAGCTACTTATAAGATAAATGTATAGACTATTTACAAGTATCACTCCAAACGTTTGCTTGCCTTGGGCAGGGGCCCCCCTTTTTTCAAAACCTTGATCCGCACCTCCAGAAACAGATGTAATTTGGTTCCGATTATGATTGAAGACACACAATGAATGCACAAGTTTCATCTTAACAGATTAAGCATTCTTACCAAGTGAGTATATATCGCGTAACAAACAATTTTCTTGGCTCTCTTTGTTGATATCCTGTCTTCGTTTCGAAATTCAAATTTCAAAATCATTTCCGGTGATAAAACAAAAGTCGATTCGGGAAAAAGGTCGGTTTTCCGTAAGGCATATAAACGATACGAAAATTGAACTCAGTACAGTTACAGTTTTCATTTCCTAATTTCTAAAATATACACGAACGAAATGAATAAACATTACAGAAAGGTGATTGTTTATTAATACATTATTGCTTAATTTAATGTTGACTCTTTTGAATTTTAATATAAGAAGGAATAAAATCTGACTTCAAGGATCTTCAAGATATCAATTAAGGATTTCAACCATAGTATCTAGCTTGTCATGAAATTGATGAAATGTAGTACTATATCTTATCCTGAAAAAAAAACGAGCTAATTCCACAAAACGTTGTTTGTGGGGTTTTGAATAAAGTTTAAATAAAATGTTATTTTTATATCCGTAAAATGTTGAATAAAATATCAGTAAGACTATTAAGTAATGTGTATGTCAGAATATTTTATAGAAAACATTAAGCTGATATTTTTCAGATGTTTTATGTAAAACATTTTAATTTTACGTTATAAAACATTTTATGCAAATAGCAAAACTATATTTTCTGTAAAACATTTTTTTGCAGAATGTTTTTTGGATATTTGGAAAATATTTACTTTAAATGTTGTTAAAATATAAAATACCAATTAAAGAAAATATTATTTTTTTTATATTATAAAATATCTACGGGATATTTTAGAACAATGTTTGAGAACATGAATAAAAGATATTAGCAAATAATATTTTGTTAATGTTGTAAAAACATTTTACTTAAATGTTAGAAATAAAACATTTCAAAAACAATAAAATAAACATTTTTTTAATGTTTAAATGATATCTTATTGAAATATTTTGTGAGAGACGTCCATATGACATTTAAAAAATGTTTTTAAAATGTTGTGTGTTTGCTGGGATACACACGTGAATAGTATTAAGGTGAAAATAACATACAAAAATTAATAGAATCAAGTGGAAAGTCACATATAAAAATGATTAAGTATCAATGGAAAAAATAACATACAAAAATAAACAGTAATAAGTGGAAAATAGCAAACAAAAAAGAAGAGTATTAAAGGGAAAATAACATTAAAAATGAATATTTAAAAGGGGGAAGTAGCAAACAAAAATAAATAGTATTCAGGGGAAAATATAACACCAAAATGAAAAGTATTACGGGAGAAAATAACAAAATCAAGAATGTTATTAAGGAAAAAATAACCTACACAAATAAAAAGTATTAACGCAAAAATAATATACGAAAATGAATAGAAATAAGGTGGAAAAAGCATACAAAAATGAATAGTATTAAAAATTAAAAATAAAATTAAAAAAAATTAATAGCAATAAGAGGAGAATAACAAACAAAAATGAAAAGTATTAAGGGGGGATAACAAACAAAAATGAATCCTAGTAACATAAAAAAGTGATTAACATTCACAAACGAATAGTAATAAGTGGAAAATAACATACAAAAATTAATTGTAATGAGAGGGAAATAACAAACAAAAAACAATAGTAATACGAGGAAACTAATTAACAAAAATTAATAGTAATAAAGGGAACTAACAAACCAAAATAAAATAGTATTTAGGGAAAATTACATTACAAATATGAATAGCAATAAGGGGAAATAACAATCTAAAATGAATACTGTAAAGGGGATATTCTATAAAAAAAATAATATCAAGGGGAAAATAACATACAAAAATGAATAGTATCAAGGGAAAAATAACTGCAAAATGAATAACAATAAGGGATATAAAATTACAAAAATGAATAGTTATAAGTGGAAAATAACATACAAAAATGAATAGTTTTTAAAGAAAACAACATACAAGATCAATATTAATAAGGGTGAAATAACATACAAAATGAATAGCAGTAAGGGGAAAATAACATAAAAACATTTATAGTTATAAGTGGAAGTTAACAAACTAAACTTTATTGTCGCCAGAATTGTTTTGCTGTATATTTATACATCACATACAGCCGAAAGGATAGTCACCTTCCTTATCATGACTTTTACTGTCGTATAGAAAGAGTCCATGTAAATATATTTGTAGAGCATGTATCCATGGGGTTCACACTTGTATGTCTTAAGCATAGACCAAAATGTTCAATAATGTTCTGAATTAACTATTATACGCAGAAACAGATGCTCATTCGGTTTTATATAAAACAGGAATTAGCATTCAAAGATGTCACTAGATTACATAATGCATTATATGAGAAAAAAAGAATATTCAACATATTCAATATATGCAATTTAAAAATGTTGCTGAGCAAAAAATGTTCATTCAAAATTAAACCAGACCGGCTTTAAAAATGTTCAGGTTAAGTGGAAAATGTGGTAATTGAACATCCTTACATGTTAATACCGGGTCAAGTGACCCGGTTTAATAATCCATACACTGCACGTCAAAATGGGGTAAATCTGTTAAGGGTTTCTCATTGGTGTATTTTAGTCCATCTGTATGAAGTAAGGTCTTTCTTAACGTCTGACTGGGTAATATTGGGTGCATCTATTACATGTGAGCAATTCCATAAGTGAGGCCGGAAAACAATCATGATAGTAGATCATGAAAATGACAGTGAAGTGTTCAATCAAGTTTTTAATCATATTGCATTAAAGAGTTTTTTGGTTGCTTTTTTTTTTATCTTAGTCACTTAATTTTGGTTTGAAAAAACGAAACTTTCACAGTTTTTATACAGGATGAAAGGCGTTTCTAGTATTCGAAAATATCTTTTTTAAGTTGTTTGATTTATGTTCCTATTAATGCATTTCATTTCATACAAAAAGTCATGACATTGTTTAAACTTAAATTTAAGTCTGGTTTGAAACTGGTTTTGTTGTCAGTTTTGCATGTATCAAATTCAAACTATATGCTCAAATCTCAAATTTTACACTTTCATTGAGTTCGAATATAGCAAAGAGCTCTTGACCAATGAAATCGTAGGATTTGGTATTTCTTAATTGTAAAGAATGAATGAAATCATGTTCTCGGTAAGGGATTATCCTACTTAAAATTCAAAACAAAGAATTTCTATAAATGAGTTACAACTGCCCGGAAGCACATTTACCACTTGAAAGAATTTGTGATTGAAATTGACTTAAAGTTGGATTTTGAAACAAAAAAAATATCAAAATAAGATTAAGTTTACTGGTGCAGGAACATTAGTACCATTAACTTTATTATGAGAATATTAATGATAACTTCAAATTACTATAAAAAAAATAAACAATATCAAAGCAATACACAAAAAAAGTTTTTAAAATTAAATATTACCTAGCTTATACTCTTTCTAAAACTCAGATAACTGGATCCGCGGTTGGTGAGAATAGTAATTTCCAGTATTCTGATAAAATCATAAAAACAGCAATTAAGTTAAACTTTTGAATATATTTAAAATATTTAAAGGCAATGTATTTGAACATTTCCCTAACGTGTTGAAGTAGTATTCGATGTAAAGGCCTGGACCAAAATATTGTCTGTAAAATAAAATTTAGTGGTAACTCAAATTTTTAATTTATTGATTTTCATTGTAAATAAACAAAAAGATAATTCCTTACTAAAATATTACATGATTTACATACACTCACAATCAGGAAACATTTCTTACCATTTCATTGTATTGTTGTGTCATCTAATGTTTAAAACACAATTTATCATATTTTCCAAAATTATAAGAAAGTCCTTACATCACTAAAACTAATCCAAATTAATATGCCTAAAAAGGAGGTCATGGATTAATTACAAATATTGCACTGACAATGAAACTAATTCTTGAATACAACCAATCAAGAGATCATTTGAGCCTTGAGCACTTTACCATATTCTAAGTTTGTAAAAGAACGGGATTATCATTATATTACATATATATAGTTATATTAACAAAAACATATGTTTTAACGTTTTGCAATACATTTTGTGTAGTTTTTGAAGGCCGTTGTACTGTAAATTTGAAGAAAAAAAGGACAATTAGAAAAATGGAAACCATCCCCTTTTTTGTAAAATCGCAAACGTTTACTCTGGAAAAACATTTTATAATTGTGTTCAATTTTTTGAAGAAAAATATATATGCTAGATTATAATCATTCTACTGTAAAAATAATATTTTAATTGATATAAGATATTCAATAATTTGTTGTGAAAAATGGTTAGCGACTTTTGATCTTGATTTCTGAAAAACTGCACCATATTTTCTTCTGATGACCAAGTTAACGTTCACCCATTTTCAAATGAATGATGTATGATATAGCTGTGTAGAAGTTATGACGATTAAATTTAGACTCTGGTTACCTGGCTAAAAACATTATGTTCAGTAAACTCACATGCCCTTTCTTTTCAACAATGAATTGATAATATTTTACCAACCTTTTCTGTCTGTGTTGTACAATGTAACTTATTGAATGAAAACAATGCCTGTCAATAATTACAAAGTAATATCTATTGCCAGATGAAATACTTCCTCAATCGATCAATAAAGTATATCTACTTTGACTTTATTTTATCGGGGTGTTTATATTTTAGTAATTAAATTACATGTCTGTTTCATTAGAATCCGAATTTTGATTGGCTGACAACCATCGCGTTGCACTCCAATATGATATTTTATTTCCTTATAAAATACAACAGCTATGACACTGCACTTGCTGTCTGTGGCAGTTTTGAAATAGTACATTGAAAGATAAACTGAAAGTTTGATATAACTAAAATTTCATAGTTGTAGAATAAAAATGTAATTATAAGAATTATAATTTTATAGTTCATCTGAGCCATGCATTTGTTTTTAATTCTTATTGTAAGAAAACGGACATCGGTCATAGTTGGTCCGCCTGTGATCCGTGACTCGTATTAATTTCAATGGCCGACGAATGAACATTTACTAAAATAAACAATCTTTGACAAAGATGTTTGAAAGGAATATAACGTTTCAATGCATTAAATGGATCAAACGTAAACGCAAGGCAGTTTTAAACAAGGCATAATGTAATACAAAAATATTTTGCTTATATTCAGAATCTTTCTGCTGATGTACTATCGAGAAACCGGTGCCGGAGGTGAAAGAAAATACGATTTGTTTACATAAAGAGTTGTTCTTGAATATACGACCAGTCTACAAATTCAATTAACTATATTCACAGTTTTACATCACACAACGGTAATTTTAACAGGTTCTTGTTACGGAGTTATGCAATCAATTTCACAGCAAAACATTTGAAAGTTCCATTCAAGTTCATGATTAATAACCAAACTTATCTCATACATGACAAAGACCTGATAGTTTTGGGACGATCATTTGATATTTTCAGGTCAACTGGGGTTAAGTAAGGGTAGGAGGATAATCTGACATTGCAACTACACATGCGATAATTGTTTTGAAGAAATTTGCGTTTAATATTTATAAAGTATTCTAAACTTCAAGTCAGGGGACAGCACTTGTCAGTGTATGAGGGACACGTTTGCCAGGTACGTTGCATTCGGCGGGAAATTTGAATGTATTGAATTAAATGAAACGATAGCCGAGTATGGGTGTCGTTGATCGGAAAATCATTACATGTTTCTGATAGAAGAATCATAACTTGACTTACATTTAAAATTGACAATGAGGTTCGGTTGAAAACAAAACTTTACGACAATAGATTAATGATTTCAGCTTCTATCTTCAGCTTCCCAATTGCGAACTTTCCATTTTGATGTAGCAAATAAACTCATCACAGATACCACTCGTTTTCTTGCTATATAAAAGGTAAATAAATAACACATTCTATTATAAAAGTTACCTTATCTGAGTTATCTCCCCTTACATAAATTACCTACTACTCCCGAAATTTGCAGATTTCCTTAAAGATCTAAACCAATTGTTATCTACTATTTCAAAATCCAAGATGGAGGAAGGCACCCGAGCCAACTTAATACTTTCCATTATTGTTTGCATTTTTCCCTTATTACTATTTATTATTATTGTCTATTATTTTTCCCTTGATTCTATTAATTTTTAGCTCACCTGGCCCAATGAGCCAAGTGAGCTTTTCTCATCACTTTGCGTCCGTCGTCTGTCGTCCCTCGTCCGTCGTCGTCGTCTGTCCTCCGTCGTCCTCTCCGTTAACTTTAACAAACATCTTCTTACAAACTTGGCCACAATAATTATTGGGGTACCTATTTTAAAAATATGTCCGATGACCCGGCCTGCTAACCAACATGGTCGCCATGGTTAAAAATGCAAGTTTTGTGTATTATTTTGAAAACCGTTATAAATAGAGAAAATCTGATGAGAGCACAAATGTTCAGAATGTTGAGCTCAACCAATTGTCCATATACGTCAAAGTTGTCAGACGACTTCTTATAGGAGTTATTGCCCTTAAAGGGGCACTAGCTAGGAGATATATAAAAAATTAAAATATAATTTTTTTTGTTCAATAATTAATGAAAGTGAAATAGTGAAATAATAATTCGCTTTTAGCGGCCATTATGGTTCAATTTGGTCAAAATAAGCTAGGAAACATTGATGATGAATTATTCACTTGCAGGTGAATAATTCGACCTCATTGAATCCGTATTCATGTGAACTTCAATTTAATATACTGTGTGATTAACACTAAGTACTAATGTTAAATTCAAGTCTGTTAAAAATGAAAAGACCTCATCAGGTGGTAAACCACAATATCGAAAAAGAACCAATAAACCACGTTACACCTGGAACGTCCCATCAATAGATATTTTCTTTTTTTCTCTAAATTGTATTGTTGATTGTTGTTTTCCGTCAAGATTTTATTTCTCTAAGTATCATTTTAAATATTAAACATTATATATTATGACATATACGACTGTATGCAGTTCATCGTATGTGTGATTTTTTTTTTGTCGATCATTTGTTTGAATAATTATTTGTTTATATAATTCGGGAGGGGGTAAAGATTGGAGTTTGTAGCAATGCATCTTATATTGTTATAATTGGTTTTGCAGTATGTATTGTGTGCTTACAATCGGGAAGTTTAGTCGTTCTAAGTGTAACGATACATTACCCCGCCTGCTGTTCTGTAGGATTGTTAAATTTATTGATTGTTGTTTGCTTGACGTACAGAGAGTATATTGGATAGTACAAGAATTGTGCCATACAATTATAGGTCACCTCCATACTTTTCAAATAGTCTGAGTTAGGTGTTGTTTGTTAAGGAGCAGAAAACGTTACTCTTTCCCTACACTGAGAATTAGATGTAATGTTCCCATTTTCACCAGACGTGTCTGTGTATCTATACATCCAGCTTAGCTAAACGGACACCGTCTTTGGTATGGGTTTTACTGATCATATATATGGCTCCTCAAAGATTCTGATTATTTATAAATCCGTGGTTTTCAGTTTGGGGATTTGAACGTTCCTGATTAAGGCGAATAAGGAAAAGTTCTTCTTATGCGCCAAATATATTCATTCTAATTTAAATATAGTGTAACTCTTGTTCTTCCCCGCATGCTCGATACCGCGCAGTGCTGTTTGGCTGCTAATTCGCGATGGTATCATCAGCCAAGTACAATGTAGTCAGTGTTCGGTACCGACATATTCAATAACATACATGTTTTAAACTCTCCGTTGATGAATATTGGAGTTACTTTAAAAACTTAGGTTACATGTACATCACCCTCAAGCAAGATCGACCTAATGTGGATTTCCTTATTCTTTTAATGTTTTATTTGTTCATACAGCTCCTCAAGTGTTGATATGCATCTTTAGCCTTAATATTTCGGTTTTGGAAGTTCTTGACAAGAGTTAATCGGGAAAAGCGCTGCGGGCCCCAAAATTTATAAAGTGTAACACTTTATAAATTGTTAGGCTCGCAGCGCTTTTCCTTCAACAAATAATTATGAAGGAAGGTGATTTTTTCTTAACAAATTATTCTTATTTTATTGAAAATTATTTTCTGAATCTATCGACATAAGTCGACATCAAAGAAATAATCATTATTTATATTTTTTTGGCTCTCATGCAGGTTAAAATTGATACAGATGCACATGAATATGCGGCGTAGAAAAACTAGTTTTTTAGGGAGAGGGTGTAGTGCCTGTAAACATGTTAAACACCGCCACATAACTTGCGGAGATCTTGAACTTTCGAATGAACAAAATCTCCTAATTTTCAAACATGTTCAAGATTTTATTAAAAGGTCTAACAGATTTCTAGTACCTTCATAAAATATTATTGCTACCGGCACGGATGATCATCACCATCAAACCTAAGTCAATATCACAGAAAATATAATTTGCTTCTTTTTCTTTTCCTCCTTTTCCATTCTTCTTGTTCTTTTTTTCTTTTTATTTATAGTTCGTATAATATTTAATGAATTTGTTAGCTTTACATGCATGCTCATAATGTTATTATTGTATATATACTTGTATTGTAATATGGAGAAGACTTCATAAGTATGATTTACTTGTGTCTCATCCATTTTGCTGATATTTAGCAAATAAAATATGTTTAAACTAAACCGCCACATTCTGTATGTGCCTGTCCCAAGCCAGAAGCCTGTACTGCAGTGATGGTCGTTTGTTGCTGTATATCATATTTGTTTTTCGTTTATTGTTTTGCACACAAATCATGCCGTTAGTTTTCTCGTTTGAATTGTTTAACATTTGTCATTTCGCGACCTTTCATAGCTTACTTTGCGGTATGGTTTTTGCTCATTGTTGAAGTCCGTATGGTGACCTTTAGTTGCCAACTTCTACGTCATTTGGTCTCTGGTGGAAAGTTGCATCATTGGTATAATCATACCACATCTTCTTATTTAAATTATGTGTATCAACAACCTTTGACATACATAAGTAATAGGACAGTTTTATATCGCTTAAGTTTTATCAAATCATTGTAACTGCATGGAAATGAGTGACGGGATAAATCACGTTTGAATATCATATGATATCAGATTTGAAAATAGCCTTCGAGTATGGATGTGAAGTTAGCAGCCGGTTCGTTATTCGATATTCGATATTCAATATCTAACCGGCTGCTAGCAGTCGGTTCGATATTCAAATTTAGTTGAAAATCATAAAAGATATAATATTTAATAACATTAAAAGCATGATTCTTATAGTTGAAAGGAGTGAAAAGATACGTAGGAAATCGTTTAATGACCCCTTCAAGTTGTCTTAAACTCTCGTTGTCCTCAAATATAAACCCTTATCAATGCTTATGTAATTTGCATATTTGTCTTTATGTTATATAGAGTTCGGTATTTTTGCTGTACTTTTTTATACCATTCAATACACAACAATTTGCTTAAAACGATATTTAGTTTTAGTGGATACATATTTTATTGATTAAGTTCAAGTTTAACAATATACACAATTTGGCATCAACATATTAAAACAATCGAATAATTAATAGGATCCGGAAACAAGCTATCAACTATAGTACTTATATTAATCCGTTTCCTTTTTTCCTTTTTATAAAATTATTATCAACAATACATTCATTCTCCTTGTATTTTTTTGGTA